CTCAAGTAGAGTCGCCACTCCGAGGCCGCCGCCTGGAGCTTCCCAGGCGCAGGTGGCTGTGTCCACCCGCCGCGCGCCTTCCCGCTGCCTCGTGTCCGTCTGCGTGCGCCGCAGGAGGGCTGCTGTGACAGCTCGCGAGATGTGTCGGTGCGCCTCTGTTTATGTCGCCGCCTGCGCAGCTGAGCCCCCCGGCCCTCAGCATATCTGATATCTCTCGCGTTGACCGCTTTTATATTTACACAGGTCCCTCAGGGAAAGACACCACAAAGCGAGCCATTTCCTCCAGTCACCGTCAGAAGACAGAACAATCATGTCACACACCTACCGGTACTTTACCCGACCTTCGTGGCTTGACATCGCGCCATCGACCCCGATCAATGGCGCGCGGCACATGTGCATGTCTCGGCGAACACAGAGACGCATCGGGCAATCACCCTACTCGGCGGCGACCGCTGTAAGCAGCGAGCCGTCTAGCCACGCAGTCGACTTGGGCCGCCAGCTGACGGCGCACGCTGGCTGGATCGAGACCACGCGGCCTTCATCGTACCCGAGGGCAATCACCGTAGCGTCCTGCCTTATGGGCAGATCTCCCACCGGCTTGGACTCCGCGACGCGCAGGTCCCAGACGGAGAGCGACGCGTGCATTGCTTCGACCGGGCCAGGAGGTGGTGGCATGTCCCCTTCTTCGTATGCTGGGGTAGGCGGCGACTGCTCGTACCAACTGGCGCCGAGGAGGGCGTGGCCACTGACGTGGAGGAGCCAGACGGAGGCGCTCGTATGCACGGCCGTGGTGCACGTCACCGTCGCGCCCTCCGCGTCGACGTTGTAAACCTTGAGGATGCCATTCTCATCGGCGACGACCATGCGGGGAGCGTCTGCGTCGAGGGTGACGGCGGTGATCATCGCCTCTTGGACGGGCACGAGATTGTTCCCCAGCAATGGGAGGATCTGCGGCAGGGGCTCCGCGGCGAGGCGCCAGAGGCGGACCGTGTAGACCTCGCTGGCGCCCTCCTCATCGCCCGCGATCGCAACAGCCTGAGCCATGAGGCCCTCGTTGACCGTCACTGTAGGCTGGTGCGGGTTGAGCGGTTTCAATTGCGTGCTGCCTTGAGGCGCCAGGTTGAGGTAAGGCGTGTGGTCGACGTGCTCACTGGTCGTGTTGTTGGGGAGATTGTGGAGCAATGCGACGTTGTGCGTCACTGCACAAAAGAGGATACGCTCAGGCCCGGCCCAGAAGAGCGCATCGACGCCTCCGTTAGCAGGGACCTCGTAGAGAGGAGGCGCCAAAGGATGCGCCTTGTGGACAGCAAGATCCCAAACCTGGATGCTCCCATCAGCCACGTCATCGCAGAACCCCGCTGCAAGGAGAGTCTCGCCGGTTGGTAGCTTCTTGAGTGCGACCGACGTGCATCGCCTGTGCTTGGATGTGATCTCGTACTTCAGGTGGTCGTTGGCAGATGGCTCCGCAGCCGAGCTGACGCTGATCAAGCCTTCGTATGGACCGGCGCTGATGAGCGGCCCCGCGCCATATCGGTAGGGCAGTTGCCACTCCATTGTGGTTGCGTGGGCGGCCACGATGACGCTGCCGAGTACAGCAGCCGAGGTAAGCGGCTGTTCAAGGAACGGAGGCAGTCGCATCGTCTCGTAGTCACCATCCCCGCAGAAGTGGGCAAAGGGAAAGCCGCCTCGCTGTTCATAGACATTGCGCCACGCTTTGGCCGCGAGCGCAAGGTGTGACAGCGACACGCCCGCACTCACGCGAATGTCGCGGAGTGCGAGCCGCTGCAGCATCAGCACAACAATGTCGTCGGGAAGATTTGACATCGTCGCACAAGGGTCGCTCCGTGCATGCAGGCTGGCACGCAGGCGGCGGACCTCGAGCTGCGAACGCTGCAGCGCGGTGCGCAGGCGCTGGTTTTCGACGTCGAGGGCCTGCATCGGCGCCAGATG